TGGAGAGGTGTAAACTGTAAGTTTAATGACAACTAATCTTTAACTGAGTGTAAGGATATCAGGCTGATTATAGTGATAATACTTTGTTTTGTAGTAAAATAAACATAAACAAACTAGTAACTAAACTATGTAAACTAAGTCACTTAGACTAGAAAAGCAGAGGTCTTCAATACCAGGAAGTGATGTAGTTCAAAAATATATCAATTAGCACACTCCCCAAAAAGTTTAATTGGTGTTATTTAACAAAGCATTCAATGCTCCTAGCAAATCTGAATTTATAATGACATTTTTTTAAAGTCTCAAATTGCACATGTTTGTGTCTAAATAGATATAGAATTCATTTATTTCTAAAAAGAATATAATCATAAAAGAATGTAAAATTGCTACCTTTGCATTCTGAAATGTCTCACACTGTCTTGTGTTTTGTATTTTAAAACAGAATTTTTTAAAATAGTACTTATAAAATAATATTCACCTGTACATGCAACATACTATTTAACAAAAAAAGATAAAAATGGACTGAAGTAAATCAAATTATGAAAAAGAATGAAACAAAAAATATCACATTTTATAAGACCTGTTCTTATTTTTCTAAGTCTTACAGAGAAACATTCTGTTGTGACATGTGTTAACATTGTATTTTTTTTAATATAATTTCTTTCTAGTCAAATTTTCTATTTTACAATAAATAAAACATATAGTAACATGATAAATATAGACCAGTCTAGGCTTAAACTATGATTGAGGAAAAAGAAAGTATATGTAGATAATAATAAAAATCTCCCACATTACTCCCCCCCTATTTCCTAAGTGTGCTACTGTGTGTGGCTGCAGAAGTTGGGGGATGGGGTGTGTAGAACACAAGAGGCGTTTAAGGGTCATCAGTTTTAGCCACAGCATGATCACCTCTTTAAAGCATAAGCACATCACGTGGTCCATTCCAGCCTGTTAATAATTCATTCAGAGCACGTTTTTCTCTCAGGAATTGCTTTGTTCTTTACATCTCCCTAATGCACCCCCCACCCCCAACCAAAATATTCATTCTGTTATTCAGAACTTTCAAATTATCTATAAAATCAACAGCAGTGTCTTCCAGAGCCCAGTAATATCTTAATTTAGCACCTGTCAGGTGCAATAAAACGTTGTTTTATTTAACCATGTTCTTTTACATACTAAGTAAACAACAAAAATGTCTAAACACTTCCACCATAAAGATACCAAACATCTGAATAGAAACAAAATGAGTAAAAATAATCTTATTTAAAAAACAATTTTAATACATTGAAAGGATTTTTATTTAATTTTGTTAAAAAAAAGTTAACTTTTAAAGCAATTTTAAAGTCACACAAAACAGCTTCTAGTTATAATCAGCTAAACAAATATTTTAATATATATGTATAAATTTAAAAAGAAAAAAAGTGCTTTAATATTGATGAAAAAAATTAAATAAAACAAATTTTACAACAGAAAAAAAACACAAATTCTGTATTCTGACCCCAAATTACCTCTGAACAGAGTTTTTTTCTTTCTCGACGTAAAATCTTACGATACTTTGCAGCATATTTTACCATTTTGAGATTATTCACTAAACATTAAATAATATATAAATCGAATTGCAAGATTGTATTTAAAAAAAAAAGTTGTTTTAGAAAAAAATCTCTAATTCTGTTCTAGTCACAATTTGACTAATTTATCCCTTTATTCTGCAAATCGTTTTTATTTTTTATTTTCTGCAATGCATTGTTTAGTAAACACACCTTTGAGTCAAAGATGATAAAATAACATGATTAGGCAAACCGACAAACTAAGAGTTAATAAATCTGATACCCCACTTTTGAATAATTGAACATCACAGCTGCCTTCATCCCATTGAGAATTGAGATAAAAAAAAATACTGGGTTATTATGTATCAATTTTATTTCTATCACTATTGATAACAAACACATGGGTCTTGTTTACACCTCCATCGAGGACTTTTAATTCATCAATGAAAGGGGTGGGGGGCAAAAATTCTTATCTCTCAGCTCCAGGACATAATTAATTATGCTAATTGTGTGAGCGGATATACTCCCCCCCTGGTTTATTGCTTTTTCTTTTTTTTTCTTTCCTCTGCTGGTTGGTAAAAGGGAAGGAGCCGCCCTGGGGTCGGATCACATGATATTGCCTTCGCGCCACTTTCGTAAAGCTTTTATTTTGTGTTTGCTTCTGACTTTTTTTTGTTGTTGCTATTTGGGTGATGGTTTAAGGTAATGCTGTTTGTTTGTAGGTTTTTATTTTATTTATTGGTGGGAGAATCATGTGATCTTGGCACACTGTAGCCTGTGCAATGCATGTGTGGTGGTTATGATGGAGCTGGGTGTAGTGTGTGGGTTGAATTGATTCCCTCCTACGTAGTTTGCAAAAACAAGGCGATGCAATAGTACATTAAACGTGATTTCTAGGTCGTCCCCACCTGTAGGAGTGCAGTTTGCAATTGATCTCTATGCATGCAGTTTTAATAACAGGGAATGTTGATGATTTTATTAATGTACAGTTTCATTAGCTGCTACTGTGTAACACTTTGGAACTCACATGGCGCCCATTGCTGCGATTGCAATAAACAAACAGACTCTGATCTCGGTCCTGGGGATTGCTAGATTGTTTTTGGTAGTTGGATGTTATTGCAATCTGCATGCTATGTGAATTTGTACTAATCTATCCTGGTGGTTTTGAAGCTGTGATTTTCTAGGGATGGCTAAGAGGTAAGTCTCGTGTGTCGAACTACAACTCCCATGGTGCTTGGCAGATATTAAAGCTGGTGAAGAATCATGGGAGTTGTAGGAACACAGCTAGGGATTCGTCTTTGAAACACCCAGCATTAAAGGGCCCCCTATATTGTGTACTAGAGATCTAGTTTGTATGTGGGGGGAGTTGTCTTTGTCTGAGGCATCTAATTGTTTTGGCTATTTTGATTCCTTCCCCCCTCTAGGGATGTTTATTTCCTTTCCATTACTATCTCTTTGTTGCCCAAGTTAGGGAGCTTGCTGTAATGCAGGGGGAGGGGGTTGTTGTCTTTTTACGGCGAAGGGGTTATGTGGGGTAAATCTCAGGCACATGGCGCCAGGGTTGTTGTTGCTGGTGATGGGAACACTGATCCGTTTCACTTTTATTTCAGGGCCTTGGCGAGGGTTCACTGTCTGTAGCCATGGCGCCTGTGCTCACATCCTGGCTGCACTGTGGGAGTTGTAGTCACTTTTAAAAAAAACATTATTTGTTTCCTGATCGCCATGCGGTCGTTTAACACTTTCTGCGCTGGACTGTTCGAGGTGAGTTACCTGGCTGTCCTAGTCTAAGTGAATTCTAAATATCCATAGGAGGTGATGGTTGGTATGTGTTCAGTATTTAATCAGTAGAACATGCCGATTTATTGAAATCTAGCTCCCACTCCCTTCTATTCTGTAAAGATCTGGAGCGTTATTTGGGCTTCCCAGGGGGTCTGTAGTGTTCTGTGACAGGTGACGTTCTGTGAATTGTTACAATGTATTCTAACGGGGCTGCGAGGATTCGAACGTTGACACGTGCATCGGCCATTTAAATGCAGTGTTTGGGCCAGTAATTATGGCTCAGGCAATTCCTGGCTCCTGCGGTTCTGTTTTTCAGGGGGCGGGGGGCAGGGTGCATGTTTTGCATAGCGATCTGGCATAGGGTGAGTTAAGGTTTGGCGCGGTTTTGGGCTATTTGAATAGCTAAGACTGCATTTCCCAGAATGCTCTGCCTTCAATCTCAGCACGAGGGACGGAGACGCGTGGTGCGGAGTCCGGTGTTCGGATCATGCTGCTGCCGGAGATTCAGGTAACTAACCGAGACCTAGGTCCAAGCCTCCTCCAAGAGGCATTGTGTCCTTAGGGGCTTCTTCTGGTGTTACATTTAACCTTTCTCTAATAAAGATCAAAGGGGATTTTATTTACTATTCCAAAAAGAAGGGTGACAGGCTTCTGAACTAGTTTTAGCAGGTCTTTCGTTGACGAACTTGTCTGTATTTTTAACTTCTATTTACTTTCTGCCTATTGGTAGTATTTTTATATATTAATTTTTTTTAAAAATCCCTGTGCTAGGTTTATACATTTTTTTTTAAAAAAAAACTATTTACACACATTCTGTCATGATACAATTTGTTTTAACTGTCAAGTGTCTGTAAAATTAAAACAGAATCGCATGTTTTTTGTAACAAAAAATTGGTAAATGGTACTTTTTATTGTGCTGGTAGTAATCTGCCACATGGTAAACTGTTTGTGGACTGGACATTCGTAAAGATGAATTGTTTTGATCCGAACTTCAAGAATTCCTGTTAAATTGAAACTTTATGCAGAGAAAATATTTTGGATTTTTATTTTATTTGCCCTTGAAAGGACTTTGCTAAGGAAGTTATATCTGACTTATTGTCTACATTACAACAAGGGCAAACCAAAAACTACTTGTTTGGCTAAATTAAATAAAGGATACAGAAAGAAATCTATTTATGTACTACAACATTTTATGTAAATTGTGTTGAAGTTGCTTTTCTCATAAGTGACAAACAAATCCATACACTTTATTAAGGGTTTCAAATTTTTAGGAACCTTATTACATAAGTTCAATCACTTATAGCTGCTGCAATTGTCTATGGCTACATTAAATGACATTATACAACGCATGACCAGGTTTTTGTTTGTTTTTTTGGCATAAGTTAGCACGCAGGAAGAGCTCATTTTTAGCACCTTACTGCTCCATAATTTAATAAGTGTCACCAGGATATCCTAACTTAAGCTTGTCTAGTTATAGTTAATTCAAATCTTAAATAACTGTTTTCCTGTCTTGTCCCCAAAAATGAACCATGTTTCAGTTGCTGCTGGCTAAGCCGCATGGCAAATCACTGATATTTTGACATTGCTTTTATTTTAACTTTTTTCCCTCCTTTTTTTTTTTTTCCTCTTAGGTAATAAAACAGTGTTCCAGACAGCGGCTGCTTGTTGAGAGATCAGTCTAAGCTATGCAAAAGTGCTTATAGTGCAGGTAGCTATTAGCACCTACTGCACTTAAAGCACTTCCCGCATTGCCGTGGCAATTTCATCTGACTGCGGTTTGAAATCTGGTAGGCTTCTGCTTCCTTGTGCTAAGGTGCATCTAGTGCAGTCAGTGACATAGCTTAGAATCTACTGCCCTAAATGCTCCTTTTGGCACAAATGGCTGTTAATGCCCCAAAAACTTCCTAGATGCCAAGCCTGTCCTATAACTGCAAGGACTACTCTTTCCAAGCAGTGCCAAAGTGCTCATAGTGCAGGTAGTTTGTGAAAATTCTCTACTGTAATATGGGCACTTATTGTTCTGCGTGGGAAAACTCTTCATCCTGAAGTTCCATGCATGTTTGATAAATTCATGTTACGGTCAGTTTTGCTGGTTTGCTTCTGCTCATTATGCCTGCTGTGCAAATCCATGCAAAACTGACTGTGGCATGACTTACCTGTGCCATGCTATGAAACCTTATTTAAGATATCTAAACTGAGTCCCCCATGGGTGGGGATTTGTTGCATTACTTGTAACTTGCTAATAGTATTGCACTTGTCCCGGCCTGTGGAGGAAGAAAGGACTCTCTACTGACCAGATAAAAGTGTTTGTAAAATGTGCTGTTTTGCTGTTGTCGGGTGGATCACGGTGCAATTTTATTTAGCTTGCTAGGAGAAAAATTGCACGGTATCCATCTGTAAACCGTAGAACTACTCTGATTGGGGGTGGGGGGCAATATTCCAGTCTATTCTGTAAGTGTAAAATGTTTAATGGTAATTTCAGTATAAGTGTGGGTATTTACATATGTTGCATGTAATGACATAACAGGCTTTGATGTACAGTAATTTGGGGTCAAACATTTTTTTAACTTGGTACTTCCAAAATGTTTGGTCAAATTTAATGGTACTGTAGGTGTTGCCATGACTGCAGGCTTAGGCCTCTGACATGCAATATCACTCTGGTTGTTGCATTTGTTAATTTCGTGTTTTCAAATGTGTTGCTGTAGGATTTAACTTTTTAAAATGTTTTTTTTTTAACTCCTCAATGTTCCTGTTTGTTTCTCAAGTCTGTCTTGATTGTATTCTAAATGTTTGCATTAAACATTCAATTAAATACCAACTATGGTCTACAGTACTTGTCAATATAAAATTACCACTTGATATGGTCGAATGTTGGTGATGGGATAATGGACAGGTAGTGCAGGCTTGTCTTGGTAATATATATTTGATCTGGGAAGGGTGGTCTTATACTAATGTAATGTCTTGTACATAAAATAAAAACTGTAATAAATCAGGCCTCCTTAAAGAGACTTTCTTGTTATGGTTGGTAGTGTTTGTGTATGTAGATTTATATCTATTTATCCCAAAGGATATCATGCATTACATATCTACATTCCCAGTGTGCCACTAATAGTGAAGATATCACATTGACATCTGTACTAACTATACAGTCTACCTCAAAGGAATGTGGATGACTGGTTCTCTTTAAATATAGACTGCCTTTAGTGTACATGTTTATCTTGTATTAGTTTAATAAAATTATGTTGGCATGCATTCAAAGCGGGTTTGTATTTAAGAACCAAAATGTTACCTTTTAATTTTGACTGCATAAAATGGTTTTACTGGAACACTTGTCCTATATACAGGTACTACTCTACAGTAATGTCCAATAAAAATTTTTTATTCAATTTATGGTCATGTTGCCATTTGGGCTTCTGTCTATTCTAGTAAGCCCAGAAACTGGTAGAATGTTGTAGGAAACTCAGACATGGCACATTTAGCAATGTTCTGTTTGGATTCTACATCCAAATGTTATAGCAAACTTGAGTAAATTTAAAGGGATATTATAGGCACTAAAACAACTTGGCTTAATTAAATGATTTTGGTGTATTCATGCCACTGCAGTCTCACTGCTCAACTCCCTGCAACTTGGGAGGAGAACCACTGTTTACATAGCCCTAGACCAGGCATAGGCACCCTTTGGCACAGCAGAGGTTTTGGACTACACCTCCCATGATGCATCGCCAGCATTATGGGGATGTAGTCCACAACATCTGGAGTGCCAAAGGTTGCCTACACTTGCACAGCCTTTTAAAAAATCTTCCTGTAAAGAGATCTAATGTGTGAAACCTTCTGTATTGCAGTCTGTTAAAATTAAAATATCTCCACTGTATATAGCCTTCTAGACTTGGCCAAATGAGTGTTTTAAAGTTCAACTTACAGAATAAGAGCTAAAAACCTGAAGTAAGTTAATTTCTGAAAATTAAACCTTATGTAGGTTCAGTCACAACTAGAAGGTGATGTTAGAGCTCAATAAACAAGTGACTGAACTACTATATGGCAGATAATTGAGCAGTGAGACTACAAGGGCATTATCTATACACAAGCAGCTGCTTTATAGGAACACTATAATATCAGGAATATAAAGTGTTTCTGAGACTATAGTGCAGAAGTCAGTTTACGTACCTGCCCTCCTCTCCATGGAGATGTAAGGATTAAACTTTCCTTTTGCGATTGCTTAGCTTGGTTCATCCCAACCCAGTCCTATGTTTAGGAATTACAAAGCTGTGTCTAGTTTCTTTCCTTCTAAAAACACCTTAGACACAACAGGGTAATCCCTGGACTGGTCGGAGGTAATTAAGGACTGGGTTGGGAACCCCACCACGCAAATTTAACAAATGCATTAAAATAATGCACTTCATTAGGGAATTCGAGCTTCCATTCAGACTGTACCACTTGAGGAGGAAGCACCTCTAGGTGGCTGAGTGACTAGCAGTGTTACTAGGCAGAAAAGTAAAGGCTGGCCTTTCATTAAAAAGGTAGAATTTACAGTTTAAGACTAAAAGGATGGGTTGCAGCCACCAGAACACTACACAAGTTATTCTGGTGACTAGAGTTTCTACAACTGTACTGCTTCCATAAAATCACAATGTAAACTCCCCCACCCCGTCAATGAATAGCTTTAATTTCCTATTCCGTGATAGGATTGGAAGTGAGTTTGGTGGGGACACAACTGCTGGGGCTGTGTTGTAAAATGTGAAGCAATAAAGGAAACTTGGATCCTGTCTGCTTGTTTAGGGCTTTGCAGCTTGCAGCCCTCTCCTCTTGCTGTCAATGTGGTGTAAAATAATTATTTTAAACTCCTGTTTTGGGCGTTAATTTGCTGCTGCAGAACTCTCTCCCAGGGCTGTTTTATTCTGAAGTGAGAAATCAATGTAAACTTAAGACCAGAGTCAGTAAACAAAGTATAGATGAGATGTCTACAGTTGTGCTAATCTGCACTTTAAATTTGAAATTCATTAATCTTTAAATCTAATTTTAGTGGTTAAAAAAAACCCAGTTACTCTTTATGCAAACTTTAATTCTGTGACTATTATGGAATATTGGTCATTATTCACAAAACAAGCCCATGTGACATAAAAATCAGAATTGTTTTCTATATATTTTCACTAAGGTCTTATTGGCTTAAAGTTGCCATATCAGTCAGCAATAAAACTATATACAACGGTGGTGTTATACTATTCATGAGCAACTCTTGCTATAACAAGGTGTGCAACTGGCCCCGTAACCCACAGTTACCACCAAACTCGATAGATTTGAAGGCACCTGGTATAATGGTTAACTTTAATAAAAAAGAGCTGGGGTAAAACACCGGGACTGTTATTACTTCTGAATTAACAAAATGTGAAATGCTGAAGGATATATATTGAGATATATTTTTGCCTACTTTTCCTCATGTCTGTCCAAAGGTGTATGAAGATATGTGGTCAATATCTCTAATGTTTGCTTTTGAAGACTCTGTGCTCTGCTTAAAGTATTTTCTGCCACAAGGTTTTGAAAAGCAACAGACCATAGTTACACGATAGTGGCACTGGGGTGGATAAGTGACCATGTGACTGTGTGGGGGGAAAAAAAGTTTGAGGGAAAGGTAGGAATGGTGTATTTTATTTATATATTTATATATACACACTAAGACCATCGGCTGGGTGTTCCTACCGATGAATGCTGTTCTCTGTATAGGAATATGCCCAAAACTGACAATAAGCCAGCCTGGAACGCTCTATTTGGGCTTGCTAATAACTCTGCTTATGGAAGTGAATTTACACTTGCAGCAGCAGAGTAGTTAAAACTCCTTCTACAGACTGCAGGCACCATCACTATTTTCATTCACTGAAGTGGTTATGGTGCACGAAGTAACGCTTAAAGGAACACTAGCATTAGGAACACAGATTTGTTTTCCCAATGCTATAATGTTCTAGGCGCTAATCTTTTCACTCTCCACCTGATTTAAAAAACAAAAACCCAAAATCTTTTTTTCCCGGCACCAACAATGCTTAGCACTCCTCCTTTAGGGATGCCATGGAGGAGGCAGGGCCTGTGTACATTCAAGCTTTCCACAATAATGGAGTTCAATACAGGTACTCTCACTTTAGAGCTGCCTGTATTGAACATCAGTGACATCGACACCCCCATGCATGTTTTTACTTGTATTACTTTATCTTTCTGTCCTGAAATTATTGTTGAGGTACTTTGTCACACTGAACCATTTAGTAAAGCAGGGGCTGTGTGTTTTTTATTTTGTTTTCCACCCTCCTATCTATTTATTTTCCCCCTCTCCAAACGATGAATTAAAATGACACTATAGGTACCCAGCCAGTAAAGTGGTCTGGGTGCACTGTCCCAGGTCACTTAAAGGGACTCTCTAGTGCCAGGGAAAACAAGCTGTTTTCCTGTCACTGCAGGTCCCCTCTCCCTCCCATCCCAGGTTGCTGAGGGGGTTAAAACGCCTTCAGTGACTTACCTGTATCCAGCGCCGATGTTTTTTGGGTCAGGCTCTGCCAACTCAACTCCTACCTAATGCGCATTTGCGGGCTGCGCACATTACACAGCCCCATAGGAAAGCATTATTCAAGGTTTTCTTATAGACCGCCACTAGAGGAGGACTTAACCCTGTTAGGCAATTAGTGCAGTTCATGGGAAAAACTGCACTAATTACACTTGCAGGGTTAAGGGTAGTGGGAGTTGGCACAAAGACCACTACAATGGGCAGGCGTGGTCTAGGTGCCCGGAGTGTCTCTTTAAACCTACCACTTTTTTTTATTTTTTTATTAAAGAAACTGCAATAATTACCTTTCAGGGTTAACTCCACCTCTAGTGGCTGTCTACCAGGTAGCCACTATAGGGACTTCTGGGCTGTTAGGTGACTTTTTGCTGCCTAAAGCTGGCAGTCCTCACGCTATGCATGGGGAAACTATAGAGCCAGGAAAACAAGTTTGTATTCCTGGCTCTAAAGTTTCTTTTTAAGCTTATTTTATCTGTCATTGGTTTCATTGCTTCTGTTGTTGCCATTAAGAGCCTGTCTACTCTGGTATTTCTGATCTATAACTAGATGCTGGATGAAGTCCCTCTATTGCATGAGCATTATAAGGGACTGATTTTTCTACTAAATTTAGCTCTGATTTCTGGGAAATATAAAGGTAGCATGTATTACTTTACCCTATGGTATTAAAACCACCATTTAGGTGGGTTGTCTCCCTTTTTAAAGGGAAAACGTAGCTTGTTTCCGGCGCTGCGTGTGGTCTGCTAGCACTGACCCCGCCTCCTCGGCTTATATCAACAAAATTGATATCAGCCAATCCATTGCATTGAACAAAATAAATACAATATTGTGATAAGCAAAAAGGTAAAAGATAAAAATGTCCTTTTTGAGGTTCTAAAAGTCTTCAAATGTTGAATAAGATGTCTTCGGAGTGGTATCACATCAATGGCATATCCTACAAGTGGGGAGTTGAAATACCATTGTAAGCTGTTTTACCGAGAACTGGTTAGAGCTCTGAAAAAATGCGAGTTGGCAATTTCGATGTTTTGGGTGTTTTTTCTTTGCTTTCCTTCTCCTCCTTTTGAGATGCTCTGTGTTCTCTTTAAATCTTTGTATAAATAACCAAACCCCCCACAACAAAAGTAAGTAAAATGTTTTATTTCACTCCCCACCCCAGTTCAAGGGATTCTCCAGGGCCAGGAAAACCTGTTTTTTCTGGCACTGCAGGACCCTGCAGTGCCTCTCTCCCTCCCCTCCCCATCACTAGTTGCTGAGGGGGTAAAACCCCTTCAGTTACTTACCGGAGTCCAGTGCTGATGTCCCTTAGTGCTGGGTCAGGCTCCGCCTACTCTCCTTCCCCGCTGACAGCTGGCGGGGGACACCTAATGCGCATGACCGGCAATGGTTGCGCACATGCATTAGACCTCCCCATAGGAAAGAATTATTCAATGCTTTCCTAGGGGGATTTCGGCGATGCTGGAGGTCCTCACATAGCGGAAAAGACTTTTTGTGTTCTATGAACACAGAAGTCCCTCTAGTAGACAGCTACTAGAGGAGGACTTAACCCTGCAATGAAACCTGCAAAAATTACAGTTGCAGGGTTAAGGGTAGTGGGAGTTGGCACCCAGACCACTTCAATGGGCAGAAGTGGTCTGGGTGCCTGGAGTATCCCTTTAAGCTGACTGCCAGCTGCATCCCTATCACTTATAATAATGAGTGATAGGGATATCTAGATTTCTATCATTAATAACTCATTTTAGATAAAATAACATTGCCACACCTCTGTATCACAAAATTCCATTAATTTGGAGATTTAATACCTGAATTGTGAAGCACTAACCAAGCTACCCAAATAACTACTGTTTTTTCATATGGATAGCGGCAGTATAACATGAATTTTTCTTCCTCATTTTCCCACAGTATAGGCAGAATTGACCCTATATTATGTTTTTATTAAATATGTTAGTATCCTTAACTCCTCCTCACCAGATATAAGAATTTTCATACCCCAGAACCACCCAGTTTTTGTGCCATTCCTACATGGAACAGGTCATAGGTAGTTTCTTTCCATTGTAGGAGGCTACAAACCTAGGTGAGCTTCAGATTTCCTCCCAGGTGGCAGAATGCTGTATGGGGTCTCAACTGCTTTATAACCGCAAAGCTTCAGCGTTGTGCCTGTCAGGAGCGTGCAATTCAATATTTCCTCCTCAGGCCATGCGTAGGAGCTGCCAGGTGCCATCTCCCAGCTGCTGCTGGCATAACCATGTAGCACTGTAGAGGCATTATTTTTTTTTTTTAAATGATAAAATTAAGTTATTATTTTAGAAATACCTCCTAGGGGATTCTTGTAACTAGTAATGGTATGTTGTCTGCATATCTTATCCTTCAAAAAAGGATGAATCCCCTGAAAGACAAGCGCGAGACAACGCTATATCTAAGTCAAAACCTTTATGCTGGGAGCCATGTCCTGCGGTCAAAGCAAAGTGAATGAACACTTGGCTCTGCAGCTCCTAAAAGTAATGGCAATAATCACTGGTAATTAGCCTAATAATCTCACCCATTTAGACACACAGTGGGTCAGAAAAGCAACTGGAGATTTCTGACGGAGGATGTTTGAACCACAATCCATAAGACAGTTCCTAGCTAACTTCGAGATTTGACCTCGCAGACCAAGGGGCCTGGCAGGTCAGACTGGCTTTCCATTCTCCCCATATTAACAAAAAAGGATTTGTCTGCTTTTACAGACCATATTTTCCGCCTCATACGAGACAAAATCTGCCAAGTCACTGTGGAATTATGAGCCTTTGATAGCCGAGTTGTCCACACAGGAGACAATCGGTGAACACCAGACTACAGTGAGAGGCCTACAAGAAGGGAGAGAGGTGTGGGTGAATAGATTTGTGAAATGCTCAAGTCTATATTTACCTATATCCTCGGCCATGAAGATGGTGGGAACATTTGTCTCCAGAGAGCGCATAGGGCCCGATGCCCTCACGGTGTTCTCCCCAAGGGATGACATATGTTGTTTTCAGGACTTCAGCTTCTAATGCAAACAGCCGGGGGGAGAGAAGGAACCTACCCAATTTGAAAATTAAGAACTCTCTGTAGCGTTACTCACCTTATCCAGGGGCCGGCCGCGGTCCTCTCTTCGAGCCACGCGCGGTCCTGCTGCTGCACGAGCCGCGCGCGGCTCATCCGACGGCCTCAACAGGAAGGCGGGCAGTGACCGCGAGAAGCGGTCACGTGTCCCGCCTGAATCTAAGAGCGCGCCGCGAGTCTCGGGCGCGCTCTTAAAGAGACAGTGGGAGCCTAAATTGTTAAAAGGCTCCCATTGGCCCCTGTCATGCCACACTCCCCATACACTTACCTTTTGGGGGTGTGGATATGACAGGAGCCAATCACATTAGTTTAGAAGCTATATATACTTACCTCTCCCTTTACTCCCTGCCCTATCGTGGTTTGTGTATCAGTTCCCTTTAGCGCTTGTTGTGTTCAGTTGTGTTTCTCTGTTTTGACTTTGGCTTTGTTTCTGACTACGTTTTCTCTTTATCCTTTTCTGTTCTGGTTGTCGGCTTGCTGTTTACTGTGTACCAGACCCCGGCTTGTCCTAGTTTACGCTGTCTCTCTGTGCCCTTGACTTCGGATCGTTCATGACTCTGCCTCCTCTCATATACGTCGAGTCCGGCCATTCTAAGGTCCGGTGGACGTATCTCTACTCTGTGTTGTCTTCTGTTTAGCCGTATCCTGCGTGTTGGGGTATATTCTCGTTACACTCTCCAGATTTACTCTCCAGGCCTACAGGCTAATTTGTCGTATAGAAGGGGATTCCTATTGGCACATTGACAAATTCCCATATGATCAGACATGCCTCCGACATACCGGGATTTAATAGAGCTCTTAACTAACCAGCGGTAAGTAGTACAAGTACAAGATAGGCTATCCCTATGGTTCCTGCACCCACTGAATCTGCCTGCTTCCCTTCTCTCCAGAGCGCTCCGGCAGCAATCCCATGATCTCAGGGAACATAACTACACAATATGAAGAGTGAGATACTCACAAATTTTAGCTCTACATTCCATAGGGAATTCCTGCTCCTACTTCCTTTAATTAGCAGCATATGATGTTTCCTATATTTTGGCCAAATTTATTTATTTTTTTTTTTTTTTGTATGTGTGTGTGTGTGTGTGTGTGTGTATATATATATATATATATATACACTAATTTCTACAGATAGTAAACATATTGTAGCACTTAGGAGCAGGTGTTTGTATATCATTTTAGCATTTTAAAACTGGTGTATTTGTATGTAATGTTAGCATTTGCATGCATTGGTGTAGTATTGTTGTTTAAAGGATCACTATAGGATCAGGAACACAAACATATATTCCTGACCCTATAGTGTTAACACCACCATCTAGCCGCCCTGGGCCACTCATGCCTCCATAAATATAGTAAAAAAATGTTACTGTAGTCAAGCCAGAAGCTGTAGCTCTGTATGCTGTTTGCCTTAAAAAAAAAAAAAAAGAAGCAGTCTGCTGACATCATCAGAAGTGGTAGCCTGATCCAATCACAATGCTTCCCCATAGGATTGGCTGAGACTGAGAAAGAGGCAGAACCAGCATGATTCAAACACATCCCTGGCCAATCAGCATCTCCTCATAGAGATGAATTGAATCAATGAATGTCTATGAGGAAAGCTCAGTGTCTGCATGCAGAGGGAGGAGATACTGAAAAGAATGGTAAAGAGGTAAAGAATGACAGCGGGCTGTTAATACACTAGAGAAAGAAGATAAGAAACGTAGACCTATGAAGTCATCTTCTCAATCAGACCTGTCTTCAGGTGAATGTTCAAGCTCTTCCAGATTGGAAGTTTCCAGCCTAGTCTCTAGCTTGGATGAAGGCTTTCCACCAGAGGAATGAAAAAAATTGGTAAAAGAAGTTGCTGCCTTGTTTCAGGGTATAGCACCTACTAAAAGTTCAGAGTTTTCCCTACAAACTCAGAATTCTGGAGTTGCTCCAGAGGGAGTGGAAAAATCCTGAAAGACGAGCTTTCATTTAAAAATATTTTAAACCGCACCAAAGGCGACTCTGTGTGAACTGCCTTTTGAGAAGAGCAAGCTGTTCGGATACCAAAATGGCTCTTCCACAAGAAATCATGTCTTCCGGCAATAGGAGATTTCAGTACAAAAGTCAAAGATCCTTTCAGTTTCAGGACAAATCCAGAAGGTTTCACAAACCATTTTGAGACGTCAAGAGATCTCTGGATCTGAAGGTAGTAAACTCTTGCATTCCATACCAAGGTTTTCTTATGGAAAATATTCTTTCAGTAACCCATATTCCTCAGCGTGGAGAATACATGGCAAAGATAGATCTCAAATACGCTTATTTACATTTTCCTATGGGTGTAAGCTCAATAAAGTATCTCAGGTTTGCAGTAAAAAGCAAACAGAAGCTGCTCCTTTTTCAGTTCAAGGCACTATCATTTGGCCTTTCATCAGCCCCACGCATTTTCATGAAGATCCTTCTGCCATTATCAGCCTCTCTGAGACTAAGAGGCATCGCCATCATCCCTTACTTAGACGATTGGCTCCTGAAGGCAGATTTAGAAAAACAGCTCGGCAAGAATCCTGTTTACCACTTAGTTTTTGCGAACTCACAGTTGGATAAAAAATTTTAAAAAATCCAAAATGTGTCCTATCACATGGATACAGTTTCTAGGCCTTTTTGTGGATTCAGTAGCTCTGAAAATCTCCTTACCAATAGCGAAACAAAGAAGAATTGAAAAAGAGATTTGTACGCTTCAGAGAAGGAATTACTTTCTGTCAGACAAACAATGAGCACTTTAGGCCTTCTTACATCCACCATTTCAGCGGTGAAATGGGCAAGGTCAGAGATCAGACCCTTACAATGGGACATATTATCAAAATGGTCAAAAACAGAAAAAGATCTGGACAAAGAAATCCAAATTTTAGCCAGGGTAAAAGATCAGTTGAACTGGTGGAAAGAATCAAGATTTGTAAAAGCAGGCCTCTCATTCGAACAAAGAAATTGGATCACCATCAATACAGATGCATCAGTCAAAGGTTGGGGTGCGCATCTGGGATCACTGTTTTGCCTAGGTACATGGTCCCTAAAAGAAGCAGCTCAGTCTTCAAACTTCAGGGAAATGAAAGCTGTATGGAACACCCTTCTAGCTTTCAGAATGGAGATAAGAAAAAAAATCAGTGAGGATCCAATCAGACAATCTCACCACTGTCTCTTACCTAAACCGCCAGTGTGGTACAAAGGTAAAATCTCTCCAAAGGCTCTGTACACAGATCATGTCTTGGGCTCAAGTAGAGTCAATCTCAGCAATTTAGAGTCAATCTCAGGCAACATAGTGGCAGATGATCTAAGCAGGCAACGCTGGACACAGACAGAATGGTCCCTTCATTCTCAAACATTCAGGATCCTAGTCAGAAGGTTTGGTCTACCAGAGATGGAACGCAAAAGTAAGACATTTTGCTTCCATTATGAAAGAAGATCTCCCTTTAGTTCTGGACAGTTTTTAATCCCTTTAAAATACAACATGGCGTACATTTTTCCCCCGGTGGAATTAATTGCTCTGATTATTTAAAAAATACGAGCAGACAAGGCAAGTATTTTAGCAATTCTTCCATACTAGCCAAACAGGAGCTGTTTTTTGTAAGTCAATCAGATGGCGATCGCTCATACTTCCTTGCTCTCTAACCTTACTGGAAAACACACATCCCAATAGAAACATTAAGGATGTTCCAGTTGATGGCTTGGCTGTTGCAAGGGTAATACTCAAATAGCAGGGTATTTCAGACGTCATCTGTGACACCCTCCTGTCCTCCACTTGCAGTTCTATTACCAGGATTTACCTTAGGATCTGGCAAAAATTCTTACAATGGTGCTTGTTAAGGAATTATGGGTCATGTTGGTCTTCAATTCCATTCATCCTGTTTTTTCTATAAGCCGGCTTTGACTTTCGACTGGTTAAAGATTTGGCAGCTAACAGGCTGATTCGTAGATTCTTCAGGTCTATTTATCTTAAACTGTCCTCCTCGTATCTCTTCTTTTCCTACTTGGGATTCATCTGTAGTTCTCAGGACAATGTGCTGTCCTCCCTTCGAACCTTTAAACGAGATTCCTTTTAAGATCTTAACCTTTAAAACTGCCTTTTTGGTGGCAATCACCTTGGCTAAAAGGATTGGTGAAGTACAAGCTCTGTCATCCTCTCCCGAGTTTACATTTGTCACCAGTAGAAAGTTGTGTCTAACCATCTTTTCTACCAAAAGTTATCTCAAGACATAACATCAACCAACCTATCATCCTACCTTTTGCCAAAATAATTCTACAGACACTGAGAAGAAATGGCACTGCCTCGCTGTACAAAGAGCCTTGGAAGTATATCTCCACAGATCAGCCCAATAGAGAATTTCAGACCATCTTTTTGTCAACTTTCAGGGTGCATTTAAAGGCAAGATGGCTTCCAGATCTACGTTAGCCAGATGGCTTACAGAGGCCATTAAATTGGCTTATGAATCTAGCAACATCTCCCTTCCATTTCCAGTCAAGGCACATTCTACAAGAGCAATGTCAACATCCTGGGCTGAAAGGTCGTTGGCTTCTCCAGAAGATATCTGTAAAGCTGCTACTTGGTCCTCATTCCACACTTTTTATAAAGCATTACAGGCTGGACATATTCTCCTCTTCCGAAGTCGCTTTTGGGCGAAAGATGCTTCAAGCTGTGGCCTACTAATTACCCACCCGTTTTAATTTCTGTACAGTACTGCCACATACGACAGGAAAAACAGTATTTTTACTTACCGTAAATTCTATTTTCCTTAGTAAAGTGGCAGTACTGCCTTTTCCCCTCCCATTGGATAATAAATTATATTTTGCAGTATTTGGTTTCTGTATTGTTATTTAGATAACAGAGGCTGGAATGAAGAATCAGTCTTTTATTAGCTAGTAGGCGGGATTATGTTTATTTTCGACTTTATTGCAGAGCTTCTTGTCCACTTCACAGAGGGAACTATCCACTTGTACAGTACTGCCACGTTACTAAGGAAATTAGAATTTACGGTAAGTATTATTACTGTTTTTCAATTCATTGTTATCACTTATAAATGTACACAAATTTTCTCAATAAACGTCTTTTGAACACAAAACCTTTTTGCTGTTCCTCTTGCAATATCACTTTTCCTGATAGACGCAACAAAAAATATTGTAATTCCTGCATTTGAAAAAGTTGCTAAAACAGCTAAAAAGCAGGTATGTCATTAGTGAACTAGTTTCAGCAGAATTTGCAACAAATCTTTCTGGATATTAAACCTGCTGAATTATTAAATTGTCCTAGCACTTCAGATTCGGATAACTTATCTATAATTTAGAAAAAAAAGAGAACTCGAAACTAAGCTCCAGTTCAGGTTGAGGTTTGTCTTTCTCACTTTCTTCAGAGGATGTATCTGTTTTTTGATGAGGATCAGTTAATTAAACGTATCAAAAGAAGGGTCAAGTGTTATGGAATTGGAGGATGACACCTTAGATAAAGCTAAAAAAAACCTTCACATTTTCACCTTTAGCCCTTAGTGACCAGACCGCTTTTCAATTTTCTTACCGTTAAGGACCAGGGCTGTTTTTACATTTCTGCAGTGTTTTGTGTTTAGCTGTAATTCTCCTTTTTTACTGTACCCACACATATTATATACAATATTTCTCACCATTAAATGGTCTTTCTAAATATACCATTATTTTTATCATATCATTTAATATAAACATTTTTATAAAATATGATATAAAAAACAACACTTTTTCTTACTTTGACCCCCAAAATCTGTTACACATCTAAAACCGACAAAAAACACCCATGATAAATAATGCCCAATGTTAACATGTTCTCAGCTTGTTTTTGCAAGTTATAGGACAATAACTACAAGTAGCACTTTGCTCTTTCCAAACCATTTTTTTCCCCAAAATTAACGCAACATTGTAACATTGATATCTGTCAGGAATCCCTGAGTAACGCTTCACGTGTGTGTATATATATATATATATATATATATATATATATATATTTTTTTTTTTAAAAGAAGACAACCTAATGTATTAAACTTGGGGTATTTTGACTCTTTTAATGCAACCATTTTACCACCAATCTATGCCAAATTAAAAAAATAATAATAATTGGAGATTGATTTGACACACATAGCAATTTAAAGGGACACTCCAGTGCCAGGCAAACAATCCATTTTCCTGGCACTGCAGGTCCCCTCTCCCCCCCCACCCCCCATCCCAGGTTTGCTAAAGTGGTTAAAACCCCTTCAGTAACTTACCTTACGATGTCCTTCGGCGCTAGTTCAGGGTCTGGTTCAGGGTCCGCCCACGCTCCTCCCCCGTCGGAGACCTATTGCACATGCGCGGCCAGCTGCGGGGGAGACCCGCGCGCGCATTAGACCTCCCCATAGGAAACCATTGAAAGATGCTTTCAATGCTTTCCTATGGGGATTTCAGCAACGCTGGAGGTCCTCACACAGCGTGAGGACGTCCAGTGATGCTATAGCAATCTGTGCTATAAAAAAGGAAGTGCCTTCTAGTGGCTGTCTAGTAGACAGCCACTAGAGAAGGAGTTAACCCTGCAATGTAATTATTGCACTTTATAAAAACTGCAATATTTACAGTTGCAGGGTTAAGGGGAGTTGGCACCCAGACCACTCCAAAGGGCAGAAGTGGTCTGGGTGCCTGGAGTGTCCCTGTAAGAATACATGTACTGAGAACTTTAAGGGTTACTGCCAAAGAATAGGTGTGTCGAGTTTTCTGGGGGCTAAAAGACTTTATTTGGAGGGTGCACATTTCAGTTTTCCAACTTGGAATTTTCACATCTGGTCATCATGCACCCATTGTCAGGGTGGCGGTCCGTAGACCGGGACCCCTGTGCCTGATATAGATGATGAGCGGAGTCTTCAGCGTAGAAGGGGATAAGTATGGCCTAATGTTGGGTAACCGCACACCCCCTGGTGTTGAGCACCAGCGTTTGTGCGGCCACATACTAAGACCCTGTTGCAGCTTATACGGATGCGAGGAGCAGATGAATATGCTGAGATGTATCCAGTACTAGAAACAAGGTAAGACTAGAATAGGCACCAAACAAGAAAACAAGACAAAACTAGTAGAACACAGAACCAGAGAAGGATAGATAGCAGAACCCAGAACATGTATACAATACATAAGGGAAACATTAACAGAACAGGGGCAGGACAGGACTGTACATGGATTGGGAATACAAAATAAAACAAGACAAGATATATAAGGCAAAACAAGAGGAGACAAAACTAAGTACTATATGTGTAAAACATTGGAGATTTAGACATACATAAATGGCCAAGATGTATGCAGCCCACCACTGCGCCAAAGTACTCGAAATACGGTGGGTCCTATCTACTTAGATATGCATGACTAAATAAACAATAATAAAACCCACACAACACTTACCTGCAAGAAAGGGGCAGAGGACTTGGAGCAACTGCTTGCAGGAACCAACTGAAACAAAAGGATTAATGGAAAAGGAAAGGGTGTGGCAAGATAAAATAGCATGCAAGGGAATCCAGGAAAGGAATAAAGGAATGAACCCAGCATAAAGAAAACCAAGAAAAACTTAACAAGAATTGTAAAAAGAGTACTGGATACCAGAAGCCATGGTCAGACATCAGAACAAAGCAGAGCAGTTCCTGACACACATGTCCTATTAGGGACATTTTTCAAGCGGACCAGTGTAATTTACCCCATCAAACCATATATTTTTGAAAAGTAGACACCCTAGTGTATTTCAAATGGTTGTATTTTAACACTTTCCATGCACTAATTCTACCACCAGTCTTTGTCAACCTGTTGGGTAGTAATTTCTTTCTGTTAGTTTTCTCTCACATTGTACATTAGGCATGGATTCTAAGCTCCTGTTATGTATTACTGCCAAAGAACACCCCAATATGTCTTCAGCAACATCTCCTGAGTACAGTGATACCATCTATGTTAGGAACATCAAAACACATAGTGTCTCCCAACATTTCAAAACACACTATCAACAAAATCCACAAGATCTCACCTTTTGTTCACTAAAGTTAGTAAAAAGAAATTGGAGGGGAGGAGATTTTAACAAGAAAATTGGCACTGAAGAAATTAAATTCATCTTTAATTTTAATACGTTAGCCCCCCATGGCTTGAATGCAGATTTTGAATTATGCAATTTTTTAAATTAATTATTTAATAACAGTGGAGTTTGTATTACTTATTTTTTCCCTCCTGTTTTAAATGTTTTTATATATATTTTTTTTGTCATTTTTAATTGGATTTTTTAGATATACATATATACATATATATTTATTTTATCTTTTACCACATTATAAGTAATCTCCCCCTCCAGTTTCTCTTCTGTGGAATACACTGTTGTATATTAGTAAGGCATCTCTTTA